GGAAACAAAGCCTGAAGTAAGATCCAAGGTGGAAAATGCAAAGACCACCTTTATGAACTCTTTATCAAAAAGTTACTTAGATATGTAGATGGAGAAAGGACTTTTCACAGCAGGAATTCTACCCCTCTCTTATTGTTCTCACTCTCCAACCCTGCATTACTTCCAGCTTTGATTTTGACATTCATAATTTTCCAAAACCTGTTATAGAGGATAATGCATCACAATCATAGAAAGGAAATACACTTGATCTCCACCATTCTGAGAAGAAACATAATTTTTCAAAAGCAAAGGAATGACAAATGGACAAACTAAAAGATGAATGGCCATAGGACAGAGACTGCATCATCAAACTATGCACTTAGGGGGAATCTCTGCATCTCTGATGACATGTACTGATCCACCAAGGTGTGACTTCTTAGGTCATCTTTACATCTGCTAACCCATGACAAAACTTATACCCAGATGTACCCCTCTCCTATCTCCTGCTTCCTTACTAGTTGTAACATGACAAGGGAAAAAAAGTCAGACAAGCAAGGAAAGGAAGCATAAACTCACTAGGCAGGCATGGAAATTCATCCCTGAGAGCACCAGGTACCCACTGAGGACTCAAGGTGTAATTGTCACCCTGAAGTCTTACTCTGGACTACGGGTTTGATTTCATTTTATATAAAAACAGTTTTTCTGCTGTGGGGCCTTCTCATCTCTCACAAACATGAAGCCCTGTGTTTACAGGTTTTATTGTGGGCCTCTTTCTTGGCCTGTCTTCTGAGAAAGCATAACAGATTCTTTTTTAGATTCTTTTTCTTTGTCTTCACATATAAAAAAATTTTCTTAGGTGGTTGAAATAAGTATTTGCTGTAAACAACACCTGCAGTTTCAAATTAAAAAGTGTTGATCAGAAATGGGGGAGAAGAACAGTGACCTTCCACGTCAGAAATGTCTGAACCAAAGTGCAGTTACAACTATGAAGAAACTCTACATCAAAAATTCATAAGGAAGATGCAGTTTTGAATAAAGAGGTTTCACAGAGGAGCAGAGTGACATAGTGAGCATCAGCTCAGGCTTTTCCCACTGTGTGCAGCGTGACCATGAGCCAACCACTCGATAAATCACATAAACACAACAGTCAAACTGAGCTGTCCTTGAGCTCTTCAGGTGAGGCATCAAGACTGTGTGGCAGTGATCTCCCATTGAAGTGCAATGGCTCACAGGGTTGATCCTCAAGGCTGAAAGCCCCTTTACCAAGGACAGAGCTTTGTTTGAATCCAATTTCATCTCTCCCCAAAGCGTAGCTGGACTGCCTGCCAGGTGACTCTCTCATTGAGCAGGCACATCTCTCAGGGTTTGGAAGTCCTTAGGGGAGACTAAGACATCTATCCTTACCCAAGGCACTGAGATTCATCACCTGTAACAGATGGTTACTAAGTGGCTGAAAACTAAATAGAAATGAAATGCATGCAGCTAATTCCATTAAATATAAACCATTGTCCAAGCTTAAAACTAGGACTGGACCTGGCTGCACCTAAGCTCTGTCAGTAGTTGAGGTAGCAAGAGTGTCCGCTCTGAAACTTCTGACTCAGCATGAGGGACTCACTCACTCGTTTCAATCTCCAGTCTCTGTGTAAATAATTCTGTGTTGATTCTGAGTCAATCCTCTGTGTGTTTCATCTATGTAGTAAATAATAGACATTGTACCTGGCCACATCTAAGATCCACCAGGAGTTAAGGAAGCAAGGGGATCCATAAGATAACAGTCCTTTTTATATTTCAACACTGGAAGTAATAGAGTGAACCCTGTCATAAAACTTTGTTATGATGCATTTCTACAACATATTAAAGCCACTTTTGTTAATACCTCTGGTAGGGAATCATTAAGGAATATAAATCCCTCCTTCACAACATCTAGCCTTGCATCAGGCCTCTAAATGGAGAGTTATGGGACAAATGCTCTATTATCAGAGGACTACAATTGCCTTTTAGGACAGGGAAACCAGGATTAAGGAGAAAAATGACACCGGCCTTGACATGAGGCAAGAAATCAAACCATTGATCAGCCAAACCCACACTGACTCACATGTTTTCCTGGAACAAAGCCAGCCTCTCACACTCCTTGCTCTGCATTCACAGCCTTTTTCACACCATGGACAAATCCAACTTCTGACCATACGTCAACCACAAGTGACAAAGCAGATGTTTCATTCAGCAAGATTTTAGGGAAACAGAAATCTTTGTCTTGGCAGCTGAACACCTTCAAGGTATGGAAGAGAACTCCTCCTGCAGCCTGATAGTTTCAACAGATCTCTCTGTTTTTAAGAACTGTCAGCCAAACTGATGCCCACTTTTAGAACATAAAAAGAAACAAGAATAAAAAAAAAAAAAAAAAAAAAAAAAAAAAAAAAAAAAAAAAAAAAAAAAAAAAAAAAAAAAAAAAAAAAAAAAAAAAAAAAAAAGAGGAAAAATGGGAAACTCGAAATAATGTAGGAATCTTAGCTATACATTTCCACATACAACTGTAGTAAGATGAGGACTGAGTATCAAGAGGCACAGTTCTCCAAGTAATTTCTTTGGAAAACAGGGAAAACACACAGGAGCACAATTACTGGATCCATATAACAGCCAGGGGAAATGGAACACTTGCACCAACCTTTTAGACATTTCTAGGTACACTACAGCAAACATTTCCACTTGCCCTGTCTCTGTGCAGACAAAATATTTCATCATGTCCAAACATCATGGAATAAGGGAAGCTGAACTTTGCAAGCAGACAACATTGGAAGAAAATTTTCCCAAATAACTTCTCCTTATGGAGAACAAGGATCACAACAGAGATCACTGCATAAGACATTCTCTGTTCATCACACTCATTTCAAGAAACATGAAATGTTCCAAGGGGCATAACCAATATTATGCTCAGTTAAAGACTTAGTCATCAGAATCGACTCAAAGTCACCATCATTCTTCCCCAGAACATGGATATTTTGGAAGAATCTGCAACCATTAACGCAAAGTTTATGTCTATATCCCAGAACTACCACTCACAGGAACAGCTGTATTGGACATGACAGAGGACAAAATAAGTGACTTCCTGGCACATACTTCAAATAACAAGCCCCAAACTCAGAAATTCCTGACAAATAAACACTCCCATCCATATATTCCCACCAATTTTAATATCAGTGGTGACTTCATATGAGCAAGAGCCACTTGATAACATCTGAAAGATTGGTCAAGACTGCAGAAAGATTAGTCCAACCACAATGAAACTCTACACCACAGTCCTACAAGGGTGTATAGCTGGGAAAAGTGATATTTCACAGGGCAGTTCTAACACGCAGAACCCCTGAAGCAGGGTTGCACTTCCATGGATATTGCTTCCAGCCAAATTCATCAGAGGATTGTCACCCCCTTTCTGGACACTGGAAAGGGGTATTTCATGTAAGTGACACAAGGCCTTGGCACTAGGCATGACATGAAAGAATCCCCAGAGTGGCTTTGGGGCAGTCTCTCCCTGATTTGGCACTGACTTCTCACCATGAGTAGGTAAAAAGCAAGATCAGCGATTCCAGTGGCATTTTCAGATAAAGTTTCAGACACACACAGGTCCACCTTTACCTCATCAAGACAAACAAGGCAACAGTTGAACTGCCCTTCACAGGGAGTAGCACAGGCAATAGGAAAGGAAACTGATGAACTCACAACTTGTCACTGTTTGGAATCTGAGCATATTCATTTTATGTAGTCCAGCAATGGACCCTGGGAATTAAAAAAACCCTACAAGCTTCCTCTCCATCAGTATCTCCTCATGCAAAACACCTGCAGGAACCTCCTCAAACTCATTACAGCTGCCATGGTTCTCACTGATCTTTATTACTTGCAGATATACTCCACTGAAAGAAAAGTTGCAAAGACAACTTCTCCTTCCCATAGTTAATATTTGACCACCATGTGGGTGTCAGAAGTAAGAAAATTTCTCCCATTAACATTTTAAGGAAACATATCTATGAGAGCCTTTCCCTTTAGAGATGTAACAATGAAAGGCACATATGGGACAGTCACAAAACTGTAACAATGTGATCAGATACTAGCAAATACAAAGGCCCAGCTTGAGATCAGTACAAAGAAGAAGACAAGAAAATAACATCTGCAGAAATGAAGTGACCACATCATGCTCTTCTAAGTTACGGCACTTAGAGAAGATGCATAATCCAGATATTGAGCAAGGATGGAATCAGTTTCCTTCTCTCAAAGCTCCCATTTTGGCATTTATAATTAGTACGTATTAAGCAATTAGTTAAATACAAAGCATTAACTTTTGCACATGCAGCAGGAACATTCCACAGCTCTCAACACAGCTGGAGTAAAGTCTGTTAGGCCTCATTTACTTAGGAAGGAAAAAAACACATTACATTATAGAACAGAGGGTCACTGAAATCTTGTTTCCTTCAACAGTCCCTCCCCCACAGTTACCAAGATCCTCCTGCCTCTCAAAACTTGCATGTTGTTTTTTGACCACTATGTTTTCCAAGAACTTTGAATCAAATGGCCAGTTATTCAGACCATTTCTCTTCAACATGCACCAGGAAAACCCACGGGCTTCACATATCTATCTTTAAAGCTTTGTACTGTGAGAGGAAGAAATATCTGTCTGCCAACTAAGTCTCATTGAAGGAGTATCAAGACCCTAAACGTAAAAGAGAAGCTGACCTTCAGGAGATTCTCGGTGAGCAGTGATCATGTGATACAGTAAAAACGCATAAAAGACAACCCTCTAACCAAGAGCACTTTCCCTTCTCCTGTCTCCGCTACAAACTGGAAGGTTAAGACCGGATCCCACGTTCGCTACCACGAAGCAAGAAGCAACCCCGATCAGCAGGTGGCTCAGTAAACTTTTGCCTTCCTTGTCAACAAAACCAGCTACGCGGAACGACAAATCACGGAAAATAAAGGGCAAAAGAGGAAGAAGAAACCGTCATGGACACTGTCTAGTACGAGGAACTCACCGGGGGAGCAGTGGGGTCGGTGGGACGGTCACCGGCAGGTTCCTCGTCGCCGAGCAGCGGTGCGGGCTCGTCGGGCGGCGGGCGGGCCGGGAGGGTGTCGCAGCAGCTGGCGGCCGAGAAGCGCAGGTGGCTCTTGCGCGAGTCGGCCGTGAGAGACACGTCGTGCGAGTAGGAGTGCAGGAAGGCGCGGACGCCGTCGATGCCCACGAAGTGCGTGGCA